TTTTTTTTAGAGCTTTTCATAATAAGAGAGAACGATGGCTTCAATTGGGCCGACTTCCCGTATCACGTCTCTGACAGGGCCAGGTAATGATAGGCTCTGGAAGTTCCAGATTCAGAATCATCTTCGAGTAAAGAACGCTCTAAAGATCGCACTCAGTGAAGAAAAGAGGCCGGCTGGAACGGCAGAAGTTGTGAAGAAATGGGAAGAGGTGGATGCCTATTATATATGCAATATCGATCATCGGCGACACCGTGGACTCGGATATCGCGATCGATCTGACGGAATGCATTGACTCGGCTGAAATGTGGATCAAGATCGCAAGAAAGTGTGACGATCAGACCGGTGAAACGATTGGATCGTTGATCGACGCTGTTCAGTATCTCACGATGGGCGATATGTTCATAGACGAGTACGTAAAGGATGCTAAGAATAAGATTACGAAGCTCAAGGCCGCAGACGAGATGATTACAGATAGTATGTTGCAGCGCAAGTATTACCTGGCGTGCCAGAAACGTATAAGTTTTACAAAGTCACGTGAGACAATAAGAAAGAAGAGGAAAAGACACTTGAATCTCTATGGCGCGGACTTCTGAGAGCCGACGAACGGGAACAGAATACCGGAACTAATTTAGCATTTGCTGCCAAGGGTGGCAAGGATAAACAGCAAAAGGATCAGACGAAGATGTCTAAATCGAAAAGCCAAAAAAAGAAGGGATCAAAAGGCTGTTTTTTATGTGGTAAGACTAGACATTTTAAGGCTGAATGTCCCCAGCTCAAGAAAGAATGAAAAGGAACGGGTGGCGATAAAGCCACATTCGTGTGTCAGGCGGAAGCTTGTGTGAGCTAATCGGACGGGTGGATAGCAGATAGTGGCGCGAGCTTTCATATGGTCAATGATCGGAGTCTATTCTGCAAGCTCGAAGAAAGCAGGGGCGGCGAATCTATCAAACTAGCGGACGACAACAAGGTTGTCTCGAAGGGCATCGGCATGGTTAAGGTCGAGGTATGGCTCAGTGGGAGATGGAAAGAAGTCACTATCAAAGAAGTTCGATGCCTAGTTTAAAAAGGAACCTTTTTGCTTTCAATCCAACCAGACATGGGCACAAAGTGATCACGATCAAGAACGAGATCAAGGTAATGTATAAGGGCCAAGTTAGTGCGTTAGGTATCTGGGACGGAAGTCTCTATCGAATAAAGTTTCGTTCGAAACGGTCTCAAGCTTATACATTGACAATAATTTCGTTACAACTTTTACATAATGAGAAGATGCATGGGCTATGCGAGCGCAGAATTGCTGAGGAAAATGATCAAAAACAAGGCTGTAACCATCAAACTGAGTGACGGTGAAGAGTTCGAGTGCGAGGCTTGTGAGTACGAGAAACAAACAAGAAGATCTTTTCCATCGGCTACACCCAGATTGACTACCTCTACTTTCCAGGGAAAATAATGGTCGGAGAACTTGTACATACAGATGTGAGCGGCCCACACAAGGTAACCTATAACGAAGCACGGTGGTTTATGGTACTTAAAGGTGAGAAAGTAAATACCGTGCATATTTTAAGAAGCAAAGAAGAGGCTGTGAGTAAGGTGCTCGAATACTGCGCTTACGTCAAAATACAGCTTGGGAGGAATGTCAAGGTTGTCAAATGTGACAACGGTCGGGAGTACGTTAACGAGAAGTTGAAGAATGCTCTGGCCAAGAACGGGACTGTGTTAGAATTGACGGCGCCTTACAATCCCGAGCAAAACGGCAAAGCCGAACGCGAGATCCGTACGTTGACAGAGACAGCTAGGTCAATGCTACATGGACGTGGATTGCCAAGGATACTTTGGGGCGAAGCGGTACAAACGGCAGCGTATCTCAGAAACATGATTTGCACATCCAAAAGCGGAAATCAAATACCTTTCAAACTTTGGTTCAACAAGAAGCCCGACTTGTCGAAGCTGGAAGTATTCGGTTCGGATTGTTATGAGAATATTCCGAAGATCAAGCGCCGAAAATGGTATAAAAGGGCTGAGAAACGAATCTTCGTTGGATATTAAGGCAGCAATAACTGTATCTGTATCTGTATCTATGATCCCATTAGACGGAAAGTGAGAGTCGCGGCAACGGTAACGTTTAGTAACAAGGAAGGTAATTTCCGTTTTTCAAAGGTAACACCGGTCGCAGAAGTAGATGAAAGCAAAGGCGAGCTCACGGAAAATTCTAGCGAGGCAGGCGAGGCAGAAGAAACTGCTGGACAAGACAAAACAGCGGAAAACCAGTCCTCGGCCACACCTAAAAGAATCACACGCGAAGATCTAGTGAAGCTTCGAGATCGGAACACGCTAAAGCAACCGGAGAGGTATGTGCAAGCTTGTATCAGTAGTCGAGCCGGCAAGTTATGCCGAAGCTATTAAAGAACCGGACGCCGATAAGTGGGAGCAAGCCATCACTGAAGAAATTGAAGCCCACAAGAAGAACATGACATGAAAGATCGAGGGAAAACCGGCAGATATCGTAAACCCATATCCTGCAAAGGGGTATTTAAGGTGAAGCAGACACCAGGAGAAAAAGATCGTTACAAAGCCAGGCTGGTAGTCAGAGGCTTTACACAGCGAGCAGGTGTCGATTACGAGGAGACCTTTGCTCCGGTTGTGCGCTACGAGAGCGTACGTGCACTATTGGCGAAGGTGGCGGTCGAGAATCTTGAAATAAAGCAATTTGATGTAAAAACGGCGTTTCTACACAGAGAACTAAAACAGAATATCGGGATCGAACTACCAGAAGGTCCATGGCCGAAAAACGAGAGGATTGTGAAACTGGTAAAGAGCTTATACGACTTGAAGTAGTTGCCGTACTGTTGAAACGAAACGTTCGATGATTTTCTCAGCAGCTACAAGTTCGAAAAATCTCCGGCGGACAATTGCATCTACATAGGCAAGAAAGATGACGAGTGGATTTACTTGGCACTTTACGTAGATGATGGGTTAGTCATGAGCACCTTTCTAAAAGTATTAAAGCAGTTCTTACAAGAACTAAAGGCCAAGTTTGAAGTCAAAGTAAACGAACCGCAGTACTTCGTTAGACTAAATTTTTAAATGCCAATTATCTCTATTTTATAATACAATTTTCTATTCTGAACTCTCTTAATTACTCTTTATTTCATCAACATTTACGTAAGAATTGAAGAAAACTGCGGTAAAAACAGTAATTATACTTCTGACATACATTAAATATCAGTACATTTCCATAACTGCAGTATAGGCATCAAATAAGTAGGTATTTGATTAACAAATCACAGTTTTATTTATTAATTTTATAAATGTGCATAAGACGTTAGTTATTTCAGTGAAAAGAAGATGCAAATACTTATCGGAAAGATGCCAACACTGTAAAATAGGACATTGACGTCTGCAGTATCTAAAAAAATAAGAGATATTATAAAACTTACAATACTTAATTAAATGTAACATTATATATACATATAAATAAGATATTAATTAATTAATTGACTAATTGATTAAATTTTTGTTTTATTATTTGTACCGTACAAAAGTTCTCCAGCGACATTACGAATAGTTTTCCAGCCATTAGCTTGCACGGTATACGACTTCTTATCAAGATCAGTACAATGTCCTTCTGTATCTGGACAGGCATATTATACCAGAAGCATGAATACCTGCAATCTGGCAATTTTAATATCCGATGCGTCCGCAATAATTGCGCTCCGCACTCTCAGAAAAGAATTCTAGATACAATACTATTAGGATCGAAATAAGGCCAATCATATTTAGTATTAAAAGAAGAATATTTTAATCTTAAATAGAGGAATTCTTGAATCTAGAATAATTCTGAGAAAATTAGAGGGATAGCATCAAGATTATTTTATTCTAGATTTAAGAATATCTCTATTTAAGATTAAAATATTCTTTTTTCTAGAAGTCTAATTTAAGAATTCCTTTATTTAAGATTAAAATATTCTTCTTTCAATACTAAATATGATTGGCCCTATTTCGATCCTAATAGTATTGTATCTAGAATTCTTTTCTGAGAGTGCGATCACTCACGTTGATTCGTGAACGTTCGAGCTTTGGTCCAGCAGATATTGCGCCAATAAGCTAAGAAAAAACAAGTGAATCAGTTGGCCACATATAAACATAACGCATGTCGCCATTCCGTCCCATTGGAATGGGGCAAGCCTGCTCACTAACTAAAAAAGAAAAGAAAGAAAAGTGAGGTGTTTGATCGCTGTAATTTCCATCTTTATTCAGACTTACTTGAACTGCAGAGATACTTATGATGATTAGGTTTAAGCCTAATATGACGAGGAAACACCACGTATAAATGCAGTGCAATAATTGCACACAACTGATTAACAAAGAGATCGTTTAAGATATATTTAAGAAATTTAAAGTAACGTCGTATCAAAAATATATTTTATACAATATTATATTTTAATTCCATCGAGATTATGATTGTATACAGTGTTTCTTATTAAATGTGTTTTACTTCAGCTCAAATCTTTAATCAATTTTTTTCTCTCTACGGAGATACGTTTAGCAAGAAACGTCCTGTATATTAATATATATATATATATATATATATATATTTTATTTTACCAACTGTATTGCTCTTTGATGATTAATGACGCATTCTCTCATGACAGCAGCTTGCTCTTTTAATCTTAGTTGTCGATCTTCATATTTTACGTAGCATTCAACATTATAATTATGATTCTCGAGAGATTGCATGATGTGTTTTTTTATCGAATCGGCAACGTGCTCCAATTTGTGTCTGCAGGTCAAACAATTATTTCATCTTCCATGCGTGGATATTCTACAGAGTGTAATGTCTGGTAATTACCGTTAGATGAGCTTATTATTTCCTTAAATAACATTTTTTTTTTTACAATTGCTTAAAACTTCGATCAAATTTTTGGTCTTGTGAGAGAAGCTTATTTTTTTATTAAAATTAATTTTTAATTTTTTAAAATTATTTTAATTTTTTAAAATTATTTTAGAGGACAATTTAATATCTTCATCGAGCTATAGCTCTCTCAGATTATTGTGAATTGTCGGTTGCGGAGTAAAATGCGGAATCTATAGCCGTTTTCACTTACAATTAGTTGCAAACAAACAGAGTTACTTATATCTCTGACGCTTACCTTACTATCGCAAACAGGCAGCAACTGTGAACGGTAAGCGTAACGTACATCAGATCGGGGCCAATGATATTTAATACAGTCGCTGTTGATGTCGTACTACTGTGCAGCCACAACCATAGCCAGTGGGTCTGAACGTCAATCCCGTAATCGAGGTCGTAGGCTAAGCTTCTCACGCGCGTGCCGTTGTGGGGTAAGATGATGTCCAGTATCGGCGAGATCATCGATGTCATGATAAAGCACACGAGTGCGTTACACAACATAGCTAAAAAGGCAGGTATAACAATATACATAAGTACACGCTCGCTACGCCCGGCGCGATGCGACAACCCTTCATACTTGAGTAAATGATGCACAACGTTCTCCCCTTCGACGTATAATTCACTAAAATCTCATACTCCTTCGCCGTCGGATTTACTTTCCAGTCTATTTCGATCTGCCGCAGTAACTCTTTCACCTGAAAACGGCATTTCGTGAAGAGACGCGCGGATGTCTGTTAAGTTAGCACAAAAAAATCGGAATAACACATATACAGAAATTAAGTGCTCTTTATGTGCTATATTCA